GCTCAAAAGAGTAGGGCGCTGGCCCCATATGCCAGAGGTGGCAGGTTCAAACCCAGCCCCAGCCAAAAAACTGCAAAAAAAAAAAAAAAAAGAACCCAAATCACCAAGCTGCAGAGACAGCAAATGTCTTGGTTTGCTGTAAGTTTAAACAATGATGTTCTTTACCCCCAGGGGGGCTGTGGACATAAAAAAAAAAAAAAAAAAAAAGAATCTATGTTAGCCTCAAAAATTTCCACCTTAAAAAAAATTACAATTTCAGCTGGGTGCAGTGGTTCACGCCTATAATCCTAGCACTCTGGAAGGCTAAGGTGGGTAAACTGCCTGAGCTCACAGATGTGAGACCTCCTCACCTCTTTAAAAAAAAAAAAAAAAAAAGCCAGGTGTCACAGCAGTTGTCTGGCCAGCTACTTGAAAGGCTGAGGCAAAAGAATCACTTGAGCCCAAGAGTTTGAGATTGCTGTGAGCAATGACGACATAGTAGTACTCTATTGAGGGCGGTAAAGTGAGATTCTGGCAGTGGCAAAAGCAGCAGACAGGGGCAAAAAAAAAAAAAAAAATTACAATTTTAGGGCAGCGCCTATGGCTCAGTGGTTAGGGTGCCAGCCCCATATACCAAGGGTGGCAGGTTGAAACCCCGGCCTGGCCAAACTGCAACAAAAAAACAGCTGGGTGTTGTGGCAGGCGCCTGTAGTCCCAGCTACTTGGGAGGCTGAGGCAAGAAACTCCCCTAAGCTTGAGAGCTGGAGGTTGCTGTGAGCTGTGACACCACCGCACTCTACCCAGGATAACAAAGTAAGACTCTGTCTCAAAAAAAAAGAATGACAGGAAAATGACAACCATAAAAGATCCCCTACTCCATTTTTAAGTATATAAAAAGTTCTGAAAGTTTACTAATGTCTTAGAAGGAAGACACAGTACAAAAATTACAATGGGGGCGGCACCTGTGGCTCAGTGAGTAGGGCACCAGCCCCATATACCGAGGGTGGCGGATTCAAACCTGACCCCAGCGAAAGTGCAACAAAAAATAGCCGGGCATTGTGGAAGGTGCCTGTAGTCCCAGCTGCTTGGAGGCTAAGGCAAGAGAATCACCTAAGCCTAGGAGTTGGAGGTTGCTGTGAGCTGTGATGCCACGGTACTCTACCAAGAACAAAGTGAGACCCTATCTCTAAAAAAAAAAAAGAAAAAATAATAAATTACAATGAGTATTTCCAGGCTTTAAAATCAGCCCATTTCTTTTGGATGATGTTTCTTCCAGAAGGAAACTGAGTTATTTATATATTATTAGGCTTAGCTGAGATTATCTTCCCAAAACACTGAGAAATGTCCCAATAAACAGTTTATTGAGTAAAAATTCCACTCAGACTGCTACCAATGTAGTTGGTATTACCTGTACATCATAACCATCCCATCCTTTGTTCTGACACTGTATGACTTTTGGTGTGTAGGCATCACAACCAGCTGTGCCTCCAACACATTTCAACTGTGGGATCGGATCCAGCCTGCGGGAGGTGGTGTATCGGTCATAGTGGAGGGTAAGAGCTTTCACATCCCGCAACAAAATTCTGTCTGAAACAGTAAGAACACAGATGAACACAAAGTAAATGGCCTGTCAAAGGAACATAGAAAGATCATCATAATAAAACCCTGTCACAGTAAATAGTTCAGTGTCTTCCTCGCCTTTTGAGGATGACTAGGCAAGAAAAGATGAATCCATTTCTCAAAGACATCCCAGCAATATTCAGGCCATTTGCACAAAATTCAGATGATCACATCCTTTAAGACCTATCTTCATTTCAGACAAGATGCTTTTATATCATAAGTTATACATAATTTTTGCTAAATCAGAAGGACAAAAAGTTAATTAACTTGAAATGTTGCATGACTATTAATAATAATATTAGAAAAAATATACAAGTATGTTCCTGAAGTTCATGCCCATGAACAGGTGAAATGATTAATAAATTCTGACTTACTATTACAGTGAAATATTCTACACCAGTTAAAATGACTGAACTAGAATTCATGTATCAAACTACATAAATGATAAAAACATTTTAAGCAAAATATAACTTGTAGAATGTTTAGTATGATAGCTTTACATAAACCTTGAAAAAAGGCAAAATAGTACTACATATTGTTGATCTATATATATGTATTTAATATATAATAGCAACATAAAATGTACTCAAAAGATTAGGCACCAAATTCAGATGAGTATCTCTCAAGAGAGGAGAAGGAAAGAGATTTTAGCTCCGTCTCCAAGGTTTTATTTCTGGGGCAGTGGGGATTTATAGCCAATACAGCAAATGTGAAGATTTCGATAAAACTCAGTGGTAATTGGGTACATGGATATTCACTGTGTAGTGTGGGTTTAAATATTTAAAGTAGTTCACAATTTCAAAAACTGAAACTTGTGGGCAGTGCCTGTGGCTCAGTGAGTAGGGCACCGGCCCCATATACTGAAGGGGGAGAGTTCAAACCCAGCCCCAGCCAAACTGTAACAAAAAAATTAGCCAGATGGTGTGACAGGCGCCTGTGGTCCCAGCTACTGGGGAGCCTGAGGCAAGAAAATCGCCTAAGCCCAGGGTTGGAGGTTGCTGTGAGCTGTGACTCCACGGCACTCTACCAAGGGCAACAAAGTAAGACTCTATCTCTATACACACACACAAAAAAAATCGAAACTTGTGCAAACTAAAAATTAAAAATCACACTGACAAAGATTTTAAAAGGAGTCAAAACAATGAAATTATGTCTGGCATTCATGTACAAAAATGAATTTCAAAGTGTTATTGGAAAACAGAATTCCTCAGATTTTCTGTGACTCCCCATTTTCTACCCAGAAAAATGTATGGAGATTTATTCTCTAGAGAGGGTAAAACTGAAGAGATTTACACTGGGGGGGAGGGCAATCTAGCACAGATCTAGGCATGGATACAAAAACAACAAAGCAAGGAGCAGGGAGACTGGATAGTGATTCCTTTTCTAATCTAACCGAAAAGAAATACTCAACCGGGTGGCACCTGTGGCTCAGTGAGTAGGGCGCCAGCCCCATATACCAAGCGTGGTAGGTTCAAACCCAACCCCGGCCAAACTGCAACAACAAAAAAAACAGCTGGGCGTTGTGGCAGGCGCCTATAGTCCCAGCTACTCGGGAGGCTGAGGCAAGAGAATCGCCTAAGCCCAAGAGCTGGAGGTTGCTGTGAGCTGTGATGCCAGCGCAATCTACCGAAGGAAACAAAGTAAGATTGTGTCTCTAAAAAAAAAAAACAAAAGAAAGAAAGAAAGACTCAACCATACTGACATCCAGAACTCCCCTCAGAAAGAACAACTCTATAGCAAAGTTCAACTTAAAAATCAAAAGCACACTCTCAGCACCTGTAGCACAGTGGTTACAGCACCAGCCACATGCACTGAGGCTGGCAGGTTCCAGCTCAGCTGGGGCCTGCTAAACAACGACAACTGCAACAAGAAAATAGCCGGACGTTGTGGCAGGCGCCTGTAGTCCCAGCTACTTGGGAGGCTGAGGCAAGAGAATCACTTAAACCCAAGAGTTTGAGGTTGCTGTGAGCTGTGACACCACAGCACTCTACCAAGGCTGACACAGTAAGACTCTGTCTCAAAAAAAAAAAAAAAAAAAATCAAAAGTGCAGGCTTAGTAAGTGGCTCACCCTATAATCCCAGCACTCTGGGAGGACAAGGCAGGTGGACTGCTTGAGCTCAGGAGTTCAAGACTAGCCTGAGCAAGATCAAGACCCCATTTCTACTAAAAATAGAAAATGTCTAGCTAGGCATTATGGCAGGCACCTGTAGCCCCACCTACTTGGAAGGCTGAGGCAAGAGGATCTCTTAAACCCAAGAGACTAAGGATTCTGTGAGCTATGATGCCACAGCACTCTATCTAGGGCAACACAGTGAGACTGTCTAAAAAAAAATCACGACCACACACATGAATTTTTTGGCTCCCTACACTTAATCATGAGCAGAGAGACAAGGATTACTAAAAGTATGAACAAAGACCCCTGCTATGCTTTGAATGTGTCCCTCAAAAGTTCTGTATTAGAATCTTAATCCCTAATTCAACAGTGTTAAGAAATGGAACCTTTAAGAGGTGATGAGGCCATGAGGGCTGTGTTCTCATGAAGGGATTAATGTCATTACAGTGAATGGATTAACTTCATTACCGCAAGAGTAGGTTGCAAGGATGAGTTTGGCTCCATTCTCACTCTCTTACACCTTCTTACCCTTCCACCATGGGAAAACATGCCAAGAAAGCCCTTGTCAGTTTCTGGACTTGATATTGGACTTCCCAGACTCCAGAACTATGAGAAATTTATTCCTTTATAAATATCCCAGTCTGATACTGTGTTACACCAACATAAAATGGACAAAGACAGCCCCTAACATGGAATGTAATAAGCAAGACAAAACAACAACAAAGGCAATTTTGAGAAAAACAGACTGCAAGGAGAAACTTTGTTTTAAAAAGGTGGCCAGGCTCAGTGCCTGTAGCTCAGCAGCTAGGGCGCCAGCCACACTCACTGGAGCTAGTGAGTTCAAACCCAGCCGGGGCCTGCCAAACAACAATGACAATTACCAAAAAAAACTGCCAGGCGTTATGGTGGGCGCCTGTGGTCCCAGCTGCTTCGGAGGCTGAGGCAAGAGAATTGCTTAAGCCCAAGAGTTTGAGGTTGCTGTGAGCTATGACACCACAGCACTCTGCCCAGGGTGACAGAGTAAGACCTGTCTCCAAAAAAAAAAAAAAGGGGGGGTCAGACACAGTGGCTCACACCTGTAATCCTAGCACTCCAGGAGGCCCAGGAAGGAGGATCACTTAAGCTCAGGAGTTTGAGACCAGGCTAAGCAAGATTGAGACCCTGTTTCTACTAAAATAGAGTGCATCCCTATCTCTACCACTGTGGTAGACACATGTAGTCTCACCTACTAGAGAGACTGAGGCAGGAGGATCACTTGAATCCAGGAGTTTGAGGTTGCTGTGAGCTAAGATGAGGCCATAGCACTCAAGACTGGAGCAACAGAGTGAGACTTTGTTTCAAAAAAATAAAAAAGGCAGCTCGGCGCCTATAGCTCAACCAGCTAAGGCGCCAGCCACGTACACCTAAGGTGGCGGGTTCGAATCCCCAGCCC